CATTGTTTCAGTTCATGGAGGTTGAAGGCTGGACAGAATGGGGTTAACCTGAGACACATGGAAAGAGTTGTGAATTTTCACATGTCAGGTTAATCTCAGAAGGACAGTGACAGGGCTGATGATAGACAGGATCTCAAAGGGACAAACGATCTTGAAGACAATTTTTTGACTTAGTGTGCAACAAGATATCGTTGATAGGCAACCATATTTTTTGACCTGGGGTGTACTCGGGCGCTGGGACTTGATGGCAGTAAGCACGCTGCTTGTTGCCATTTTCAAGAAGGCATCCAGGTTGCCCTCCAAAAGTGCTGGCAGTGGTGGAGATGCTGCTGGACAGAGGGGGTGCTCAACTCAGCATCAAAGGATGACAAGTCTGTGTCGGCAAATGTTAATGAGTTCCAAAAAGTTGATTTTGTTCACCTGGACGTAGTGTTTTCACTAAAAACGCTACATCCAGATGAACAAAACAACTTTTTGGAATATCCTTACCTGGATGATTGAACATGCATCAAGACATGTTGATGAGTTCTTGGCATAATCAGCCCAGGTGGGGGCTTCAGTTGGTTTGATTGGAGGATGGCACACAACAAAGTGCTGCCTCCAGCTCCTAAATGAGTCTCCCAGTATGTTCATTGGTCTGTGAATGGAAAACTGATGACAAACTGACAATTTAAATGTAGAATTCTTTCCAGTTTAAATTGGCAGGCTCAATCAAAAACATAGTTCAATTTTTCAATTAAATTTTATTTCATAATGTCCAGGGGAATGCAATGGAGTCGGAATACATGCTAGGCTAGAAACTGAGCAGTTTCCAAAGCCATTGGAAGTTTAGGAGGAGCGATGAGTTGGGCTGGTTTGCAGAGACGATCAATGATTGTAAAAATAGTGGTGTTACATGATGCAGAGGGATGCCTGTTGATGAAATCCAATGAGATGTGGGACCACAGCTGCCCAGGTACAGGTAAGGGTCTCAGTAATCCAGCTGGATGTGAACAGGGTGTTAGTTATTTTGTGTTCTGTTTTCAGAACACGCTCCCACATACTCTGCAAATCTTTGACCAAAGATGGCCACCAAAACAGCCTCTGAGGGAATGTTAGAGTTCTCTGGAACCTGGGATGACAGGTGAATTTGGCTGTGGCTTCCCAATGCAGTAGCTGAGATCTGGTGGAAAGTGGGATGAAAAAACGGTAAGGAGTTCCACTATCTGGATCTAGTTTATTTCCCAGGTTATACAGGATGCTATGGGGCTGTGCCATGGGGGAGTCCAAGACTGAAAACTGACAGGAGAGAGCAAAGCACCAAAATGTTTGCTTTTCTAGAGTTGGTAACAGCTGTTGATGATGCATGTTTCCAGAGCATGTTTCCTGAGCTCACAGCTTCCTAGCTCACAGTATCATTTGATAATAAAGTGTGTGAAATCTTTATTTCAGTATCTAGCACTTGGGTTTCATTCTTAGCAGCCTTGGAACTTTTCATTCAAGGGAGTAGATTTGGCATGGACGGAAGGGACATGTCCCCACCAATAATTTGATCTATTCGAGTAAAGAAAATCAAACACAATAATTTCATCCTAATGGTACTGACATATTCATAGGGTTAATTTTTGAGACAAAATGTCATGAGGTAGTCATGATTTGGCAAATATTCCAACCAACACAAAGCTCAGAGAGTAATGGTGATACAAGTTCACAGGTGAAATTGGATGACGACTTGATGGTTCATGACTGTATTTGAAGCACATGTGTGACTGCATGTATGTGGAATGTCTCACTGTCATTCATCAGGTGACAGAGGCAGCTCTGCCATGTTGTAGCTCAGACAGAGGTGAAGAGGCGAGGTCACAGGTGACTGACTGATGATTTGGTGCTATAGATTAACTAGTATTTATTATCATGACAATTGTTAGGCTGCTGATGTAAATTGATTCATTAGTGTATATTTGACAAAGAATCTGAATTGACACATCTCACTTTTTATATGGCTCGAATCAATGTGTTATTTTATCAGGTGGCAATATGTCCTAGTGCAGTCAGAGGGGAAGAGCCAGGGCCAAAGCTGAGGCACATCAAGCACATAATAATAATAATAATTGTAATCTGAGGATAAAACACATGTACTTAGGCTGAAAGAAGCTTCAGTGCTCTCAGAAGACTAAAAAGATGGGTAAGGTTAACAATGACTCAAATGAGATTAAACAATGCTGCTGTATGTCCACCAGGAGAGACTGGACAGTATAGATGTAAAACAAATATGCCAGCAGTTTATCTCAGTTAACGAGAGGAGCAGGCATGTGTGTGGCCCCTTCACATAGTGGACATTGAGTTGTTGTGTGGGACACCAGTAGTCCATGTCTGTTGCTGTAACAGTAGTTCATGTTTAGAATAAAAAAAATCCCAGCTCACTGACTTGATCAGGGCAATAGCGCCTAAAATGTTGCATAATTTTGCTGAGAGATCTTTTACTTTGTAGTAATCTGCGATGAGTAGTTTTATGGACATAAACCACCAGGTCATTCAGTGTTCCCTTAGTGCCATAAGAGATGTTGGTGTACTATAACTGAATTAATGATGTTATGTCCTTAAAGTCATATTCATTTATTGTCATGACTGTATTTAAAGCTATTTTTATATGATACCTGATTTATATGGAATATGGCTGAAGTGAACTAAAGCCTAAACTAGTCATTTGTTTAATAGTAATTTAACATTATATAATTCACATATAAAACTATGAATTGTGATTTTAAATGGTTTAAAAGCATGTAGAATAGCATATGTAGACAAGTATATTTCTCCTCTTTTTATTAAGAAGCAAAAACAAAAAGGAAAAAAAAAACAGGGCAGGGTTCGGTGGTTGAATCATCCGTCCTCACCAATGCCAAAACCAAATCTACGCCCTTGTTTTCATTCTTCTGGAATTCCCATTTCATTTTCCTAGTTTTGTTAAGTAAATCATAACACAGTGGAATATGTCATCAAAGCAATTCTGAGGGGGAACCAAGCCCCGGCATTCTGGTCATGCTTACTTTGCTCAACCTAAGTTGGCCCAGTGTCTCATAAACTTCTTAGACATATTAACTTCCTGTTTTCCGTTTTCCTAATCCCAGAGATGTATTTTGAGGCATTCCAAGAATAAATTCTGTTTCATAGCCATGTATAATGCCCATCCACTCTGGCCAAGGATTGATTGATGAGTGGTGGTCAAATAAATAAACAAAAGTCTCACCACCGTGTTGACATAGCCTACAAAGGGTAAATAATACAGGCACATTCATTTAAGATTATCCTTTATCTCACTCTCCCTACCATCATCTGTCACACCAATTTGTTTGCTGTCCTTCACTATATCCATTTAACCCTAGAAGTTTGTTATATAAAACCACCAGTGTATTATCATTTTAGTGAGACTGTTTGTGACTGCATTATTGCATTTGACAAGTTCAACTTTATTACATTTTATTAGAAGTTAATTCTGAAATTATCCTTAAAAATTAGCTGTATATAAATATTAATTTATCCATAGTTAAACATAATAACTCTCCTGAGTGAATGGAAAGGCCATGACAGTTTGTAATTTCAATATAATAATGTGTGAATTCTAAGAAATGTGTTGAAATGAGTAAGAAGGGGTAATCAAGTATGAGTCTGTCATATAGCTCAAAACCACAGTTATGTGATCAGTGCCAGAAACAAACAAACAAAAACCCAATAATAGTTTTCTGAATAATATAATTATTCAGATATGTACATGATGAATCCCAACCATAAAAAATAAAGCCACAGTGTGGTGATTTTTACATGCAGACACCACCACCACCCCTTTTTAATTGTGCATACAGCACTACAGCAAGGGTGCATTTTACACATTAATAATCATTTAAAATTAACCTAGGCAACGTCTCTTTTTTATTAGGCCTGACTTAGTAAGAACTACAGCCCCCTCTCCAACATCGTCAAGGCATTCCTTGCTAAAGGAGTTATTAACAACTTTTCACATTCCATCCTCTACTTCACAGGTTGGCCAAGGTGGTGAGGAAGAGGAAAATCATCTGTCACAATGACAAATCACTGAAGCTTGTGTACTTGGAGATACAAGCTGTGTTTCCACACAAAGGATAGGAACTGATCTTAGAGGAGTGAAAGCAGAGCAAGTGGTAGCTTACCATGCACATTTACCATCAAAGACCAGAGGTTCATCCACAATGTGCATGCACAAACAACCAGAAAAATGCTGCTGGCTTTACCTATGCTCATTGCTTGTCCTAAAGAAAGGTTACAACTTCAACTACTGTTTCCTTAATTCATACGGTCTGGTAATGAAAAAAATCCACATTGTGGACAAGTTGTTGCTGTGGCAGTTCAGTTTAATTATTCAGTTAGCAGTAGTTTGTGGCTCAGCTGCAGAGGAGGGGTGGAGCAGTGGGTTTAGGGTGCAGGCTGGTCATGCCTTCACTATTTTAGTAGGTTGCCGGGACCTGACAGTTCTGTGTGGTGTGGAGCAATGAACGTGACTGGAAAGCTGCTCTCATAAAAGCAAAGGAAAACAGTGCAAATAAATTAGCTCTCATTGGATCAGCTTATGCAGATAAATTTAAAGCATGACTCTACTTGAATATTTCAGAACAAATGGCAGTGTGTTGAGGCTATTCGGTGCTCACAGTTAACTGTCCTAGGGTGTGGTGTACTCAGATAAAATATGTCTGTTGTTTGTCTCCTGCTTTGCCTCTTCAATCTCAGTAATTTTTCTACATGGCTACATTTTCTATGAGTTTTCGGATTGTGTTTTAAAGTAATTTTAAAAACAGCCTGTAAATGTAGACCCAGGGTACACAACAAATCAAACATACTAGGTCTACTAATTGTACAAATTGTACGCTTGTTGTACTCTTTAAAACTGTAAATGGGCACTCTTGCACATTTTAGTTTGTAACCTCTGGACATAGTATGTGTGAGTGCAAATATATTTGTATTAATTTATTGTTAAATGTTGGTTTTTTTTGTTTTTGTTTTTTTTAATGGAATAGTTAAATGACTTGAGCCCAATGCCCCATGTCAAAGGTGACTGCCTGTGCAGTCCATGCACTCCGGTGCAGATCCCAGACATTATTTTGAATTGGAAGACCAGTGGTAAAGGGTCACAGGGTCATCCTTCAACCTGCTCACATTAGCTGTCAGCATCCTCTATTGGACATATGTACCATATCCATATGTTCATCCTGTTCACATCGAATGATGAGACTTTCTGCATACAATTGTTTAAATGTCAAAAGTTTTTTCTTCATAACAGTTCAACCCTTTATTGACATCATTGAGTTACTGAGAATTCACTGTCTGAGAGTAAATACAACAGTGCATGCATACAAAAAAATTATGTATAACTGAAAGAGGAATACATTTTTTGTCAAATACAGTGATAATTTTGATTGATGATTATGTTTTATTGCTTTAGAAAGAGCAACTCTATCTGTAATTGTTAAGCAATTTGAATTAGGCGTATTACCAAGTGTAATTCAAAGGGAAATCTAGGCCTGACTTTTACCATCCTTTTGTGACTTTGTGTTTACATCCTTGTTCATCTTTTTTTATATATGTTATGCACAGCTGGATTAACAATGCTTTACTGGGACTCTGATATATTGGCACAACAGGCACCGACAATTTACATTTACCAGATTTCAACTTTGTAGAAGACAGGCCTCTTCAGTCCATCAGTAGGTTAAAGTTATAGCCAATAACATGAGCAGGAACAAATAATTACAGCGGAGTATAATCCCACTTGCATTATGACAAGACACCAGTTTATCTGTGGAGAAAAAAGCACAAGAACATCATGATGATGTTATTTCACAAAGAATCTTTCGGCTTTAGTTTACACGTGTGTGTGTGTGTGTGTGTGTGTGTGTGTGTGTACTGTTAGATGTTTCTCTTTTTTTGTCCTTTCCTTTTTCCAATAAAAAATATTTAATCGTTCTGCTATGTGGTGTATGATTCCACAGTAAGTTTAATTGTGGAGGTGTATCAGTATTATTCACCCTTGTGTGATCTATGCTCAGAGAAGTGATGACTGACCCTCCTCTCCTCCCACTTAGACCTCCAAAACTTAGGCGAAACACAAGGGGAGCAAGACAGAATAAAACTCTCCTCCACAAGCTAAACGCCTTCCTAACAAAACCTGATGTAATGCCTCCTACTACAGATAACTACAGTAATGGTTAACAAATGTACACTCTCTATATCTTCTAAAGTGTTACATATTAAGATATAATGAAAAAGTATCTAGTCCTTACAGGATGTTAAAATTGGGAAAACAGAAACTGAGAGAAAGAATGTGGTGGACATTAGTGTCATTATTTAACAAAAACTAAGACAAAATGCAAAAAAAGGCTATGAAAAACTAAGAGTGACATATTTTTCAATAGCTTCCAGAACCAACTTTAGAAGCAATAATTTGAAGTGATCATTTTCTATTTGACTTTATCAGCCTCTCACATTGTTGTGGATGAATTTTGGTGCACTCTTCTTTACATTTAAAATAAGCAGAGGTGAAAAAATACAGAAAGTTTTACCTTAGCAGAAGTACAATGCAAAGAAAAAAAGTAGCTATTTCAAGGACATTAGCTGTAACTTTAGCTAACAGACAAACTGTGCACATAAATAGTTTGTGTGTTTGCTGATATTTGTGAAGGTTATAAAAACTTTTGAAATTAGCTGCCACTTAAAAAAGCATTAAAATCTTTATGCTCTCTCCTCTTCTCTAGTGCAAGGTACAGTGCTACAATTCATGACATCTGCACCAAAAGTGCAATAAAATCATTCTGGCCCGATTTAACCCCCTGAGTACAGTGCTGTAAATGATGCTTAAATTATATTTTTTGAACTTTTCATGTCTCTGTATGTGACAAGCTCTTGTGATAAACACACCAATATAGCTGGCTCAGTATTGTTCCCTCCATTTAAGCACAAATAAGTTTTGGTTCGCAGGGCAGGGAAGTAAAAACTTCCCTCAAACGTGTTGAACCTTAAGTGAAAACTAGAGTAAAGATCCAGATATTTCTGAAACAATGTAAAATTTGGTCAGAAAAATTAATATTTAAGTAATTTACCGATATCTGGAAACAGTTACAAAGCATTTGTACTTCATCACTTCCCAACTCTAGAGACAAGAGACTTTCTCCTAACAACCTTTCCAAACACGCCATACTTATTCTGTCTTTTTCTAGTTATAGTGGCGTGAACTTTAACATTTATGCTTGTAGAATCTGAGATCTACCTGCAGAGTTTTTGGAATTTCTCTGAATTTGCTGAGACATCCATTCCTGGTGTGCTTGGCAACTGTCTTTAATGTTTTCCACTGGTTAATAATTGAAGGACTTAAATTCTTTGGAAATAGCCCTATATCCCAGCAACAATTGTTTCTTCTAAGAGATGGCTGATGTATTTTCCTCAAATCCAAGGCAGGTCTGGGAGGGCATCAGGGCTATCACGGACTACAAAAGGAGAACACCATCACCCTCAGCCGACAGTTCTACTCTGGCTGAGGATTTAAATCTCTTTTATGCCCGTTTTGATAGGGAGAACACCGACCCTGTCCTGTCCCCTCTCCCCTCAACCGACCCTGCTCCAGTCCTGAGCACTCATGAGCTGAGGCGTGTGTTCCGGAGCATTAACACCAGGAAGGCGGCCGGGCCAGATGGAGTGCTGGGCCGGGTGCTAAAAGACTGTGCTGCGGAACTGGCGGATGTCTTCACCTCTATATATAACACCTCGTTGTCCTGTTCACTGGTACCATCCTGTTTCAAAGCAGCAACCATCGTTCCCATCCCAAAACAGTCAAATGTCACATGTCTGAACGATTTCAGACCTGTGGCACTCACCCCCATTCCCGCCAAATGCCTGGAGAGACTGGTCATCAAACACATCAGAGCTGCTTTTCCACCATCCCTGGACTCGTACCAGTTTGCATACAGGGAGAACCGGTCAACCGAGGATGCGATCGCCATAGTGCTGCACACATTACTGGAGCACCTGGAACACAGGAACACCTATGCACGGCTCCTCTTTGTAGACTACAGCTCGGCTTTTAATACCATCCGGCCATACAAACTCCGTCCCAAACTCCACCAACTGGGACTTAACTCCTCTCTGTGCAACTGGATTGTGGACTTCCTCACTAATCGCAGACAGAGTGTCAGAGTGGGTAAGAACACCTCTTCCACCCTTGTGGTCAACACCGGTGCCCCTCAGGGGTGTGTCCTGAGCCCTCTGCTATACACTCTCTTCACCCATGACTGTATTTCCTCCTGCGCGTCCAATCTTATTGTTAAGTTTGCCGATGACACCACAGTGCTCGGACTTATATCCAACAACGATGAGACAAACTACAGGACAGAGGTGCAACAACTAGAGTCATGGTGCCACGACAATAACTTGGTCTTAAACACCAAAAAGACCAAGGAGATCATTGTAGATTTCCGGAGGAAGGGTCATAACAACCATCTGCCTCTCTTCATCGGCAGTGAGGCGGTGGAGAGGGTGAGCAGTTTTAAATTCTTGGGGGTAACTGTGACCGAGGACCTGTCCTGGGGCAACCATATCACCTCAGTTGCACGGAAAGCCCAACAGCGCCTCTACTACCTGAGGAGACTGCGGAGCGCACACATTCCCAGATCTCTGATGTTGAACTTCTACAACTGTGCCATCAGCAGCGTTCTGACGTATGGATTTCTAGTGTGGTTCCCCAGCTGCACCAAGGCCGATCAGCAAGCACTCCAGCGGGTGGTGAAAGAAGCTGGCAGAATTATTGGAATAAGTCTGCCAGAGATTAGTAATATCTTCCCCACTCGCTGTCTGAGACGGGTGCACAGTATTCTGCGGGACCAACATCACCCTGCGCGCCACCTTTTCCACCTGCTGCCCTCAGGGAGAAGGTACAGGTCTATACAGGCCAGAACATCCAGACTGGCCAACAGCCTGTATCCACAGGCTGTGAGGCTCCTGAACTCTCTGCCCCCCTCTCACGGACAATAACCATATCCAACTTCTTAATAGCACTGAACTTACTTGTCAGGTTCTCATGTTTACTTGTCATGTTCTCATGTTGTTGCTAAGGATTGTCTTATTGCACTGGAGTCACACTGGGTTAAATATTTACACTTGGGTTTTAAGGGGTATTTATTATTTTCTTCATTATTTTATTTACGGGTTGTACGGAAGCCCCAAATGCAATTTCATTGTTCTCTGACAATGACAATAAATAAATAAATACAAATACAAATACAAATCCTCCAGACCAGCAAACTGGCAACATTTCCGTTATTATACGCGTTCACACTTGGTGGTGACCAGTTAATCAAATAGATCTGAGTAGCAACACCTGACTGTAGATCACCCTCTTTATTCCTACAGAAGCACTTACTTTTTCAGAGACGGCTTCATTTTTTTTAAGTAAATAATGACACTGTGGAATGTGTTTTTTTTTTTACTTCATCTGAGATTATATTTAAGATTCATTTTAAACCTGCCAAATTTAAAGAAAATATACTTTCATTTAGACTATATAGAGTGATCTTTATATATGTGTCATGCATGTATGTGTGTAGGTGTTTGTGTATCCAACCTGACACGCTTTGGACTTTTGGGATAAATTTGCTCCAGAGCTGACATTCTTTTGCTTTCATCATTGTCTTTTCTTCTGGATGTTTATAATTCAGTGTGACATACTTCTGCTCTTGAACAGTAAACACAGGCCACTTAGCTCCCTCAAGGCCTGGATTTCTGAAACAGACAATAAATCAGTTCTAAGAATCATCAGGGTCTTCACACTAGTTGAGTGAGTGTCTGACCATCTGGTTATGCTTACCCTGTACGAGCAAAGTTGGCCCAGTGTTTCATAAACTTCTTGGTCATATTAACTTCCTCCTTTGTGTATCCCAGAGATGCATTCAGAGGCATTCCAAATACAAATTCTATCTCATACCCATGCATAGCACCCATCCACTCTGGCCAGGGATTGACTGATGAGTGGTGATCAAATAAATATACAAAAGGCTTACCACCATGTTGAGAGAGCCTGCAAAGTGTAAATAACAGAGATATATTATTATATTACAACAGGTTAGCTCAAGATGGATGAAACATAACAGAAAAATAAATAAAGTGGTGCATACAAACTGAGGAAAAAACACAAAAAATGCAGAAACATTGTTAGTGTTAGTAATTGTCATTTTTATACTGGTTTGCAGTTTTAAACTATTAGTAAGGTGGCATTTCTTTAAACCAGCTCTATTTGTCAGTGTTTTGTCAGGATTTGTTTGCAATAATCGCAAGAACATAAGAGTTGAGTCTTGTTCTTGTTCTTAGTCTCTAGATGTTGTGAGAATTGCGGTTTGTTGCAGCAGCTTCCGTAGTTAAGTGTGTTTTGCGGTTTTATTCATAGTTTCTTTTTTGTCTTTTTTTTTTTTAGATTTCAGTTTTTACAAACTATAGACCTTAGTCGTCTTTTTTGTAATTTTATGGTCCTCACTGTCTTTTTTATATTTGTCATGATGAGGGGTAAGACTGAGTGGAATGGCTCTGTGTTTCTATACACTCAGGACCTGGCACTCTCACACTCAGGATCTGGCACTTTCAAAAACACAACACTGCTGCCTGTAGCCAGACCGGTCATCCTGCAGGAACTCAAAAGGTGACGTAATCAGTGCCAGGCCAGAGTAAGAATATAATCAAGGAGAAGGAAACATAAACCCTCCTTTCCACCGGTCATCATAGGGAATGTGAGGTCTCTTAAAAGTGGATAACTGGTAAAGCATCAGAGTAATCGGCAGTATCGGGAGCGCAGTGTATTATGCTTTACAAAGGTACCTGGACCACACCACCACAGTATCCGACTTTTTCATAGTTTGGCTGACAAAGACGCCAAGCTGAGCAATAAGAAGAAAAGATGGAGAGATTGCAGTGTTTGTTAATAAATGGTGATGCAATCCAGGACATGTTATCTACGATGAGAATTCTCCGCTATATTAATACGTGTTTATGTAGCAGCTAATGGGTCAGCAGCATGTGACATCACACACGGGACTTTCACTGACCTAAAGCATAAACCCCCAGAGCCTTTCATCACCATCACTGGCGGTTTCAACCATATCTAGCCTCCACTATGCCAACTTTACAGCAGTATCTGGTCCGCAAAACATGAAAAAATAAAACTTTGGATCTTCTGCACGCAAACATGCAGGATGTATACAAAGCCACTGCCCTCGCCAACTATGTAGATCAGACCAAAACCAGGTCCTGTTAACATCTCAGTATTTTCTTGCAGTTCTAAGACTTCCTGTTGCCACCAAGCCTGTGAGAAGAATTCTGGAGTCAGGGAGCCAGTGAGACTACATACTGGGACATGCTGAATGAAAAGTAGAGGATCTTCAGGCCTGGGAACAAGGACAAGTTGAGAAACCTACACCATGACCTAAAGGCAGGGCTGAGAAAGTGTAAAGATACCTACAGAGAGAAGCTGGAAACCAAACTCCAGTTGAATAATTTCAAACAATTGTAGAGAGGGATGCAGTTGATCACTGGCCTCAATCAAAGAGATCAACAGCAGCAGGAGGGCAGCATGGATACAGTCAATGAGCTACATGTGTTTTACAACAGGCTGAGTACTAGACCTCTGTTGATCTCTTCACAAAGCACCAATCTAACTACACCACCACAGTGACTTCATGAAGGCAAAGCTGCAGACCTTGATCACATCAGTACCAGGGTCCTGAAGTCCTGTGCTGCTCAGCGGTCTGCCACCCTGCCCTTCAGCCTGCCACATCTATTACAACTGTGATCTTCTTCTTTTTGTCAGCCATAACTATGTCTGGTTGGCTGGCTAGCAGCTGCTTGTCAATGTGGAAGTCAAAGTCCCAAAGGACCTCGGTCTTGACTACTTAGGTCTTGTTCTGCTGGCATGATCAGAGCCTCTGTGTTGTCCAATAAGCTGGCTTTTTCTAGTCACTGTGGATGGAACCTGTTAGAGTGAATTGTTAAATGTTGTCATGTCTATGCTTGCCAACTCTGATGAAAGAAATTCCACTGTCCTTCCCCCCAGATTCTCGAGGTTCTGGATGGGGGGGGCTGTAATGTTTTATTGCAGATACATCCTATCTGGAAGATCTGCTTCTTTTGATGTAAGCTTCCTGCGTTTACGACCCTTTGGTCAGCAGGAGGTCTAACACACACACACACACACACACACACACACACACACACACACACACACACACACACACACACACACACACACACACACACACACAACTCTTACTTAGATACAGAAGTTCACACATATACATACAATGCCTTTTCTTAGAACCATGTGGGCGTGGCTTTGTTCTAACGTGTTTTGTGTGAACTGTGTCTCAATAAAAAGGGCAGCAAGGGAGGTCGTCGTCGAGGTCATTTTTGTGGTGGACACAGGCCTCCCTTGCGCAAGTGATTGATCAATCGACTGTCTTGTTTTCTTCATGATGAATAAGTCTCTAGAATTAGCGAGGCTTGTGGAAACACAAACCCAACAGAACCCTTCATGGACTGTGTGGAGTTTTTGTGTCTTGACATCAGTCTTATCTTCTTCTGTGACCACCTTTTTATTTCAGTGTGCTATCTGACCTGGCGCATATGGATTGATACCTTTGATCTTATTCTTACCATTGCGTAAAAGAAAAATAAATCAGTTTTAATATTACCCTGATTCTCCCCAATATTGATTTTTGAAGCACATATGTTGTAAAGTGGAGTGATGAAAAATACATGGAAAAACATTCCCGATATATCCATAACCATTTTTCTTGTGCTTACCAGAAAAAGTCTCATAACAAATATTCACACACAATCTCACCATTGCAGCACCTTTTTTTAAGTTGACATTTAAATGTATTCATTGCTTTACTACTGTTACTGTAAGATACTACTACACCATAGTATCTTGAACAAATCTCACCTTGTTTGATGTAGCATGCTACTGTATGTTCTTAAAAAACAACTATCAATACAATTCTGAGACTTTAATTAGTCATTTTTGAGTTTATTAACTGTGACTAAAAAATATGATCAATAAGAATTACTCATTACCTGTGAGCAAAGTCGAGCACTGGACAAATGAACATTTGATCTCCAACAAGACTACATACAGAGTCACGGTTTTTCACCCTGTTGTCCACATCTGTCCAATCCGTGTAATGGAAAATGACTGCATCTCTCATGACATCACTCGCACTATCCATTGCAAGTGTCACTCCTGCCAAGAATTCCTTTCTAGTGATGAGACTCTGACCGGTGTTATTAAATCCAGGGACTGCATAAACAGCAAAATATGTCCCTTCATCCTTATTTAAACCAAACATCACATCTTTCTTGGCAAAGTTACCAGAACTTAGAAGTACCTGCAGAAGGAAGAGAGAAAGTTGTTTAGTTGTTTTTGTGAAGCCAGATGTTTGTTTGTTTGTCTTGTCAGTTACTTTGTTTATACATTTACACAGGGAGTGCAGAATTATTAGGCAAGTTGTATTTTTGAGGAATAATTTTATTATTGAACAACAACCATGTTCTCAATGAACCCAAAAAA